CTTCACACTGCATTCTCACCAGAGGACTTGTCTCCAAGAGAAGGCAGCTTGGGATTCCAACCCCACAAACCCACCTCCACTTACATACAGACATCCTGATACAAAAGGGCATCCCTTCCCTACCTCATGCTAAATCTTTCAGCCATACTGTTATCTTTTCCCCTCGGTCTCTTCCAGAACTTCATGCTCTCTCCTCTCTTCAAACTCCCATTCTTCTCTTGTCCATTAGCACTCAAACATTTGCGCAACTCTTTTTAAAAACAGTAGCAAAAACCAAAAATGAAACAGAAACAAAACCAATCCTCACTCATCCTCATCTCCTCTACCAAATTAGATCTTCTGTCCTTTTGACAGCTAATATTTGATTGCTTCACTTCTCATGTCACTAAACCATGTTTTGCACCACACAACTGCTCTACCAAGCTCTAAAATGACCCTTAAGTCTCTAAATCTAATGAGTACTTTTCACTCCTTATCCTGCACATTCTTCGAACAACCTTTGACATGATTCCTTTGTGAAGCCTGCCCTTCCTTCAGCTTTCAAAGACCAGTCTCCAGATTTTCTCCCAAGCTCATTGGTCTCTCCTTCTCAGTCTCTTTCCAGGGTCTTTATTCTCAACCCGTCCTTTGGATGTTCAATCTGAAACCTAGGCTTTTCACTCATTATATACTTTCTAGAGCAATCTCACCTATTTCCATGTCTTCAGTTATTCTCTCTCCCTAATTACATACACACATATATATATGTTAATCTGATAAAAAACAAAAGCACTAGTTTTGTACTGTTAATAGAGGTAAAAACCTAAAAAAAGTAAATGCAAACATGAAAATAATAAAGCCCAACACATCCATATCATGGAACATATGTAGCCACCTACCTACTTATGGGCCAAAACGAACAAGGCAGTATATGATTTTTAAATGGCCAATTTACTTAAGTATTTCCCCATTCTAACCTTCGAAAAACAAACAGCCTAAATCAGAGAGTAAAACGACAAAGCACTACAATACTTTCCAACTGGTCTGCCATCACCTGATTCAGTGGGAAATTAGTTGAAAGACAGATAAAAATGGAGCACATGAGTCAACCTGCATATGGAGGGAGTTAACTAATTACTGCCAGTGTGTGTTTTATAAAACCCCATATACTACTTGCACCCTCCTCTCCTTCACTGCCTATGTTTAATCCTCACCAAGTCCTGTCCACTCTTCTTATAGACCTCTTAAATGTTTCTACTTCTTCCCATCCCCATGGTCACAATCCCAATTTTGGCCACCGTCTCATGCTTGAACATCTTCCTGTATCCTCTTGCCCTTCTCTGTGATGTATCCTTTTTAAAACCAAAAATTCATCATGTCATCCCACAGTGTAGACCCTCCAATGGCTATCACCCTTAACAATAAAGTCTAATCTCATTAAAATGCCTTATAAGGCTCTCCACATTTGATATGAGTAATTCTCCTGCCTCATGTCTTAGCCCTCTTCTCTTGAACTCTGTACTCCAGCCATACTGACTTCAATTCTGAACTGCACCAATGCTATTCCCTCTTCGGGTACACTCCATTCCCTCCTCCTGGCTCCACCCTAGTCCTCACACTTGGTTCACCTTTTTTCTTTAGGTTTCAACTTTAAATCACCTCAAGATTAAACAAGTTGCCCAATATCCCACAGCTAACAAGTGGTAGAGCGAAGGGCGATTCCATGAATGTCTGGTTTGTTCTCCAGCCTTGATTTAATTCATCCAAAATTCTCCAAACCAGTAACTTCTCTTCCATGTCCCACCTCGAGGGAATGGTTCGTTAACGAGTCCAAAACACACTATTACGTGCATCATCTCTTGACGCAAACTATTTTCGTCGTATCTAGGGGAAGTGTCAAAAGCTGAAAGCACCGTGCTCAGCAGCCTGGGTCGGGAAATTCCAGTGTTTCGATTCTATAAATTCGTTAGTCTTCGGGCCCATCTCATACGAGCCGAATAGTAAGTACTTCGAGTATTAAATCCTTTAGCAACAGGGCACAAAAGCAGCAATTCTTCCATCTAACAAGACGTGGGAGGCCCGACTACCTCTCTACTTTGGAAGAAAGTGACCAGAACTGGGCGCCCAGCCGACTGGGAGCCGCTGGGGAGACGGAGAGGCGCCCCCGCCTGCCGTCCGCCCCCGCCACCTTCACCTTCCCGGAGGAAAGACAGCCTCACCGCCGCGCCTGGGCCTCCCGCCCGCCGTTCTCTCCCGGCCCCTACCTGACTCGGCGCCGCCACCAGCGCTCTCGCACCCTCGGAGGTGGCTCTGCGGCCAGGACAGTCAGGGAGGGCCTTGGGGCCGAGCCTGCGACTCGGAGCGCAGAGGTGGCGCGTCAAGGGGGTTGAGGGCACGAGGCCGCGAGCACTAGCAGCAGCCAGGCTCGTTGGAAACTTTCCCCGTTACCGGCCCGGCCGCGGCCGCCATATTCTCGCCCCCGAATCCGCGACGGTACGGAACGCCTCCGGGGTCAAGCAGCACGGCGCGCTCCCTCCGCGAGGCCGGCGGAGGCCCGGCCCCTCCGCGCCCACACCCGCCCGCCGCCGCGCCCCCGGTGGGGCCCGCGCGGCGCCAGCGCGAACGGCCTGACCGTGGCCTCCCGCACCTGGAGAACGGGGAGCCGTGAGACCACGAGGGATCAGGCCCCCCGGGCCGGACCGAAGCCGGGGCAGGACGGCCACACGGGGGCTGTGAATGACTGCAGGAGGCGTTGCTGCTCTTTAATAGCCATGACGCAAATGATGGCTCTGTGACCCGCTAAAGTCCAAGCTTCCTAGGCTCGCCTTCAAAGCCTCCCCTCTTTCTTTTCTAATTAAGTCCCTTTAATGCGCTGTTCCCGGCTCTACTCCACTGACAGCAAGCCTAAGCTCCACCCTCGCCCCGCCCCAAGCCCTGGCCTGATCCATTCACTTCTTTACATCCTGTCCCTTCTCTGTTCACTGGGTTTGCATCATGCGAGGCCTTCAAACTCCAGCGCTTATTTTCATTTGTACTGTGAACTCACTGAGTAAACGTAAGGGGATATTACTTAGAGGTAGCGTTTCACAACAGCTGTGGAGCCGGATGGCTTTGGAGTTTGAATCCTGGTTCCTCCCTTTCCTATGTGCGACCTCGGTTTCTACATTTAAAAAATGGTAATGAAATATTCCTTGCAAAGTTATTGTGAACATCCAGTGAACCAGTATTTTTTTTCTGGCTTGATGTAGGCCCTCACAAATTATGAATTCCCCTTCCCTAAGAAGGCATCTCTGCCTTCTATCCTTATTATTTTCTACTGCTTGGAGCTCTTAGGGAAGTCAATTTATTTCTGTAAACTACAGTTTCTCATATGGACATGGAATGCTAATAAAACCTACTTTACAGGATTGTTGTAGGGATTAAATGAGACCATGGATGTGAAAAAATACCTTAAAATCTTTAGA